TGGGACACTAGATCCATTATTAGGGCGTTTATGGGAGTTGTGTATTTACGCCTTTCTAAAAGCACGACATTACGATTACAGAGATTATGCAAAGACCGGAAGTGACGTCATTTAACCGGAAGTGACGTCATCAACCGGAAGTGGTGCCATAATACCGGAGGTGACATCAAGAAACCGGTGGTGATAGTTAAGTCCTCGATACGATACTAATTGACCGGATGTGACATCATGGAACCGGAAATGACGTCATTTGATTCAGGGAAGATGGATCAGAGATCTAGCAGAAGACTCTCCCGCACATTAACTTCCTGTCCTTAGTTGAAGACTAACAATTAACCATCCACGGGACCCTCCTTCCATATGTGGGATTCTGGCAAACATAATCCAGAGGGAACGTTTACGACATAATTAGGAACAATTACATGTATTGTTAGTAAACTTACCTCTGGATTATGGGATATAGGTCCCTCCCGTACCTCCCCGAGAAGTGTATGAGGAGAGTTGTTTTTTGTTAAAAAATTATGAGGGCTTGAGGAGAACAATGCTGTGACATCACAGCTAGGGGAGATAACTGCGTATTCTTTAGGTATACCACTAGGATAGCTATGACTATGAGAAATTTTATACTCTTTCATTTCTGTCCAGAGGTAAGTTTAACAATACATGTAATTGTTCCTTATTTTCTAATAACCTGTTGATGAGAGCTTTCATCATATAACTTCCTCTGGAAATTCCTCAGTCAAAGTTGAGTCAAAATCAGTCAAGAATCTTTGTCTTTTTCCTTTCCTAAAAGTTGCCTATAATAGTTGAGAGTCAGTGATTTAGGTATACTGCTTCTCAGTCAGTTTTCTTGGGAACCATTTGCATTAAAACTGTGAATGAAGACATGAGCAAGATATGATAAATTCCTCAGATTGCTCTTACTGCAACGGAAATGTTAACAAGTGTAGAAGTGAGCACAGCTCACATACCCCCGCTTCCCACTTTGGGACATGGAAATGACTGATATTGATATATATAATGTGACAAGGATCAGCAGCTCACAAGACTTTCTCTTTGACTCTACTAAACTTTATATACATGTTAGATAATAGTTTTGGCATGTACTGATTACGGTAATAATTTATGGAAACTAGATTTTTTTGTGTTTTCCGTGGAAACCTGACATACAATTTAACTTGACTGTCTCATGTTGCACACAATGAAGTGGACATAGATGAAGACTGCTATTTTTTAGCACATGGCATATCTGTGGGTCATGATTAACTTGTGTATTAAGTTTGGTGAACCTAGCATGTATAGTTTCGATGATATGCCGTGGTCAGGTAACCATCAAATACATTTTGCATGTACCTAGCATGTAAACTTTAAGAGATATGCTCCGGACAAAACCATCAAACACACTTGGCACTAAGTTATGTTTCCATGGAAACAGCAAAAAAACTAAATTCTGAAAAACCTTTGAAATAGCAAAAGGCACATCAACGGGTAATGATTAACATGTGTACCAAGTTTGATGAAGCTAGCATGTATAGTTTAGAAGATCAGCTCTGGACAAGATGACATCCTCATAGTCACAGCCTAAGTCATGTTTCCATGGAAACAGCAAAAAATACAATTCATATCTGGATCTACCCCCCAAATGGCACATCTAGGGATCATGCTTGATATGTGTACCAAGTTTGATGAAGCTAGCATGTATAGTTTGGAAGATCTGCTCCGGACAAGATGACATCCTCATAGTCACAGCCTAAGTCGTGTTTCCATGGAAACAGCAAAAAAAAACAAAATTCTGAAAAAACTTTAAAATAGCAAAAGGCACATCAATGGGTAATGATTAACATGTGTGTGAAGTTTGGTGAACCTAGCATGTAAACTTTAAGAGATATGCTCCGGACAAAGTTTCCGGACGGACGGACGGACGGACAGGGGTATAATAACTGTTATTGTTTTTAATATGTAATGTTTGAGGTTTTGAACATGTAAGTCTTAAAGAACCACTAAACTTTGTTTTTTGTCACTCTTTTAACCATTACATATGAAAGATTTGTGGTTAATCTTATGCGGAACACCAAATTTATTCTTTAAAAACTTGTGGTTAATTAATACCGAGCGATTAAAAGTGGCCAAAAAGTCGCCTGCTTCCCTCTCACCCGCCAACGAAACCACAGACAGGTTACGTAACTCTGTCGCCAGAGCACTGCAGTGACGTCATATGAGGAACGATTTTCAGTTAGTTGTATAGAAAGTGTGTAGTACGCTCATCATTTTGATGATTTCACCGACATGAACGGCATACATGCGAATCGTTGCTTTGTCGTCAATTGCTCCTAGGGGTCGGGTGATGGTGTCACCATGCACAGATTTCCACAGGATCCCGCGGTTAAGGTGCTAAATGGGTTATGTTTGTGCGGTGTGGCGGCGTTGTGGAAGCCTGAAGCGATATCTTACTTGTGTTCAGATCGCTTCACGGAAGTTAAAGAATCAAAACTACTTACTAGTTATAGTAAAATATGTATATGATTGATGACCATAAAGATTTTCCATATCACAACTTGTAACATAACGATTTCTTCCTCGGAGTGAGGTAGGTGGTCGGAGTAACAATAATATTGTAAGTAGTATTATATTGACACTCCACCTTGCTGCCAGGAGAGAAATTGTCATGTTATACGCTATGTCATGCAAAATCCTATTGGCTATCAATAAAATACATATTTTACTACCAGTAGAAAGTAGTTTTGATTTTGTAACTTTCGGTGAAAACAAACCTAAATAGCATTTATCCACAGACTGGCTGGATGTTCCCGACAGAGGCGCCATTTTGAAAATCGTAAAGTCTGTTAGAATTAATGAGATTATAGTTTGTGTTTTCATCAAGTTAGAAAATCAAAACTACTTTCTACTCAAGAGTTAAATATGTATTGGAATCATAACCAAAGGGTTTTGCATGACACAACTTATAACATAACGATTTCTTCCACGGAAGCGAGGTGGGGGTCGAAGTCACAATACTGCGCGATAAATTTTTGCTACATTCACATGGTTAATGTCCACTCACCAGTATGTAGATACTAGTCAATGTGCGCCTTTATAGTTGGTCTTATAATCCTAATTAGTTTATTATCATACTTTTATGCATTTTGAAACTAAATAAAAGCTGGACGATCTGCTGATACTTATAGTGAATTTATAACAGAACTGTAATATCTAGACATTTTATAGTTTGCCAATGTGAATCATAATTCGCACACACACCCTAGTGTATGTTGTCTGTCTCATTACACTTCACGGCCCGAAAACAATGATTCTGTTGAATGCTACGACAAATGATTAAAAACAAAATGCAAATATTAAAATTAAAACAGATTAAAGTTATAGGAACAATATCAGGCCATACCTTGTTTGAGGAATGTATCCATCAATATCCACAAACTGTTCCAAATGATGTGTCTTTTAACAGTTTAATATACTGAAAAAGTGATAAATCTTTTCAGGTATTGGTGTATAGTCTCATTGGTCACCCAAGATAGCACACCTGGCAACTAATTGCATAATGTCCGCCTTTCATTAAAACAGTAATTTAGTTAGCCAATAATGGGCAATCAATCAATGTATTGCCGGTTAATCCTTTGAAAGAAGGGCGTTGTTTTCATCGCGAGACACCGACACGCAGAGTGTATTCAGTATAGATTAGTAAATCTACATACATAAACACTACCTTTTGACAATTCCGCTGTGTAAGATAAAAGTAATTAATCAATCAGCGTGTTATCGGTTAATCCTTTGATCGATGTTCATAATGTTGAATATTTACTCCAGACACAAGAAATGCCAAATGGGAACCTTTGTCGGGTAATCTAAGTGTGTTACCACTAATTATACCTGTTATAAATTCATTAACTGACCATCAAGTGAATGATGACAAATAACATGTGTAGGTTTATACCACCTAACACGGGTTACAATAAGGGAGTATTAATTGCTGTATTGCATGTGAAAACTTATGGGCCGACACTGTTTTGAGAATACAAACAGATTTTTACATGACATGATTAAATATCGAGGTAAAAACACAGAAATGGGATCAATTTGGATCAGTCATTATACAAATAGGGCCTAACGACACCAATCAATTGTGACAGAAGCGTCTATGAAAACAAGTTGTAACTTCGAAACTAGGCAAAGCAGGAGACAAAATTAAATGACAGTAGATTGTGAGAACATATAGCTTTCATTTTCCACAACAATTGTCACGATTTCAGGTTTATACAAGCCTGTAAACAAGATAATTTACCCCCTAAAATGTAGATGAATTGTGCATCGGCCCTCAAAGCTATTCCTCATATGACGTCACAGGTCGCGCCGCTCTGATTGGTTGAAATTTCGTTCGCGGTTGAGAATTGTGCACCGTTGTCAAAAAGGTCGATTTAAGTCAATTAAAGGTCGAAATGAGTAGTTTTAATGACGGGGTTGCAGTTATAACGATGCCAGTTAGTGATTTATGTATTTTTACCCCCTAGGGTTTATGTGACCTTTAACAGACATAATGTATTGTCCAGTGCTCGCAAAAAAACCCAGCGTATTTGACACACAAATTATCTCATATATGCAGTGAATTTAGAAGCAGGCATCATTGTTGAGGCAATGCCTGGCACTTAGTTCAGATAATCTAAACTTTGATTTCTGTGCGATGACTGGGATGCCTGGTGTTTTTGACTGCTCGGTGCTGCTTAAGTACCTGACCTGCCTGACCTTGTTTTTTTTTTCGTTATTAAACAATCACAGTTGATGTCTTGATGAAAGTTCCAAACTGATGTTGACCCCCCCCAAAACATGTCCATGACACCAGGGAGTCATGATGACACCTAAATTTGTATGCCTAAGGTTAACACTGAATGTCATTACAACATTGTTTAGAAATATATTATGCAGTTTATCTCGAAAATGAAATAGTGTTGTTTTTTCATTAAGGTGATTTATCTTCTTTTTTCTTTCAGCTGTGTTTCAAAAATGCTGAAATATCTTTACTTGGCAAGTTTTGTGCAGATATGCTGTGGTAAGTATTGCTTTTTATTACCCACGTGGTTTCATAACAAAGTGTTATGACAAATATGTATCATAAGCCCTTCGAGTGATTTGATTGCCTAATACATGAACTTTGACATTACCGGTACTACTTTCATCTCTCATTCCATTCATGATTTTCATTCGGAAGTTTTCACACCTGAGAGCATGTAAAACGAGAACACTTCTATGAAATTAAATAAAATTTATTATTTTTCCTTGTCCTGGCTCATGCTATTTTTGCTTGTCTTCTTCTTCTTCTTGCGAACACAGTGGAACACTTGTATCTCCCAATTGAAGCTCCCTTCAATGTAAAATCACTAATTAGTACTCACCAAGAGTTGCCTCCCTCCTAGCCATTTGCCCGGGAACAGAGGCGCCACCTCTGCCCACATGTATCACTCTCTCCTTCTTCGCCCAGTGAGCAGGATGTGAGAGAGCCTGTGTCTCCCTACACTTTATATCCTTTGTTTATTCTTAGTTATTTACCTCTTATAGTCTTCTATAGAGGTGTAGCTAGTATCCTTTCAACATTATGCATTGATATTTATTCGTGTTTCTACTGTTTATTCACGGACGCCGTGCTTGTTCAGTAGATTGCGTTGATGAAAATCTGCACTATTTGCAATTTACGTTTTTCTGCTGCTGATCGCATTTAATATGCCCTAGTTGTACTTCGCCATGTTCTATTTGTTTCACGCTGCAATTATTGTTCCAAATTATCCAATTCTGCCTTTAATAAATATTTACTTTGTGTCTTGAGACGCGCAGCAGATAGGTCACGTAAGCAGAATTTAGCCATGGCTAATACACTGGAGCCCCTAGCCTGTCAACTGCTGTCGGACGACCCCCTCCCGTCTGGTGTTCCGCTAGAGTTACCCTCGGAGGAGAGGCGTGGGACGCAGTCCGCTATCTCCAAGAAGCGACCTGCATCCCCGGACATCCCGTCGTCGCAGCCAAAGACTAGGAGGGCTTCCATTTCGTCTCAACACAGACTCCGCACTCCCAGGGCTACATCCACGTCCAAGGGGAAATCAATGAAGTCCAGCAGAACCTTCTCAGCCGAGATTGTTCCCGTTGCAGAATTGGGCCTGTATAATGATCAACCGATCATCATACCTGATTTACTTCGGAAGAAGCGGCCAGTGTTGGCAGCTATAACATCAGCACAGATCAGCACGCAGTCTGAGGCACCTACACTGATGTCAGATAATCTTCCTGAGGGTCCCGTCACTACCAACATAGAGAAGGCAGCAACTACTTCAGCGCAGACCGTCCCAGACGACCTGATGCATCAGATAATGAAGTTGATGGAGGATCGCTACGGTCTAGAGAGGCATCCACCCCTGAGCCTATGCGAAGGCCCCAACATAAACATCACTTCAGAGGGACCCCCGGTCAGCGAAGCTACTACTACGAAGCCAGCGTCGAAAAAGCCACCTTCGCGAAGGTCGTCACAGCCCGCCTCCATGAAGGACCCTGATGTTCAGCATTCACGGAAGGCTTCACGAAGGACGACTAGATCATCTACCTCGGACTTTGATGACCAACATTTGAGAGGAAGTTCGCGAAGCAAGATCCTCTCATCCCAGGACTCAGACTCAGACTCTCAACCTTCACGAAGGTTAAGTCGTCACTCTCCAGGACCGGACTCAGATGAAGTTTCGCGAAGATCGTCGCGAAGGGAACCAGCTACTGGCTCCAAGTCATCTTCATCTAGAAGGTCATCAAGGGATTCACCGAGAGCTTCGCGAAGCTACCAGCGTTCACCAAGGAAATCTCCACGAAGGTCACCATATAGACGCTGCTCGTCAGTCCGTTCACCACGTCGTTCTCCTCGCCGGTCTCCATATCGATCGCCTCGTCGATCACCTCGTCGATCTACTTACAGATCACCACGTCGGTCATCTTACAAGTCCTCACGGAAAACCCCAGACAGGTCTCCATTGACGTCACCCGGCAGAGATGTAAATGGATACAGGACAACACCTCAGTCACCATCGGAGGAGCACCAACATCTTATCTGCGACCCGACTACAGAAGATGATGGTGGTATCATATTTTCCGACGCAGAAATATGATACTGGATGGTGAATAACCTGGACCTATCCTCTCCGTCCAAGAACGAGAACTCGGCCCACACATATCTTATGAAGGAAGATGATGCAGATACAATCACCTTACCTCCGATTGACCCGATAGCAGCGGTACCATATAGTCTGGATACAACCTTTTATAAAGCCACGAAAACCCAGACACCGCAGGCCATAACATGGACCCTTTTCACAAGGCACAAGATATCGATGATAACTACAAGATAATCAGCGATGCCAAGTCCAAGACTTACAAAATAGACGACCGCAAGCTAGTCCAGATGGAAACCATGTCAAGGAGGATGTTCTTTGGTCTGAACAGATCAAGAACGATGAACAAAACTCTCCTCACTAAATTCAGAGATTCTACATCAGAAGACGACAGGAGGATTTACTCGGCCCTCCTCATGCAGAAGAAGGACCAGCAGTTCCTAACAGATCACCTGACAGCAGTATCCGCAGCAATAACTATGGCTCGTCGTCAAGGTCTCCTCGCCTCCTGTAATTGGGGTGATCAGTTCACTGCGTCACTCTACACAGCCCCGTGGTCATCACCGTCAATCTTTGATGGAGGTATAGACAAAGTCTCTAAGGAAGTCTCTAAAGTCTCCTCATGATAAAGTCGATGGATACGCTAGCCAGCGTCATCAGGCAAACTTCGCAGAGATACTCAGGGAAATCGAAGTTCTCCGGTCTACAGAAAGCACGGGACAGGAAGATGGCAAGTGTAAGAGGAGCAAAAGAGTCTTTTCGCCGCCCATACAGCAATTACAGGGGAGGATCTGGAACAGGCAGGGCACCCAGAGGCTCCCGCAACTATAAACGATGAAGGACAGGTTCGGAACGACTGGAGTCTTCCACCCCCAGCTGTTCCAGTACAACCATCACAAGTGGGTGGACGCCTTCAACTGCACTGGGAAAACTGGGGATTCCTAGAGGATCCATATGTCTCCAACATCCTACAACACGGATATCGAATCCAACTACAGGCCGCGCCTCCGGCTGGCAGTCATCCCTCGAGGTTCGAGACTTCCAGGCACTACAACTACCAAAGTTAAGAGAAGCTGTATCAATGCTCCTAACCAAGCAGGCCATAGAAGTACTGGACCAAGTAAACATCGAACCAGGCTTTTACTCCCCAGTTTTCCTAGTGCCCAAGAAAAATTCCAAGGAGAAGTTTCGTCTCATCTACAATATGAGCACGTTCAACAGAGACTATCTACGCAAACCGCCAGCGTTTCGCATGATAGATCTACCTAAACTACGGCACCTAATTCGTCTCTTGGACTACATGGCCAGTATAGATCTGCAAGACGCATATCTACACATCCCGATACATCCCGAGTCCAGGAAATACCTACGGTTTACACTAGACGGGCTGCATTACCAATGGAAAGTACTACCTTTTGGAATCTCATCGGCCCCCTGGTTGTTCACAAGATTAACGAAACCTATCGTCTCTTACCTACATCGTCTAGGACTACGCAGTGCGTTCTACCTCGAAGACGGGATACAAGTGGATCCAGATCCACAGCGTCTCAAACTACATTTAAACTTCATCATCAAGCTACTAACACAGCTAGGATGGTTAGTAAATCTACTCAAGTCGGACCTAGAACCAACGAAGATCTGCAATTTCTAGGCTTTCGATTTCTCACGGCACAGAATCGTATCGTCGTACCGGAGGACCGATGGATCAAGATCCAACAGACAATCCCTCAAGCCTTACTTTCTCCGCTACCACTACGACAATGGCAGAGTCTGTTGGGTCTACTCACGTCAGCCCAAGACATGACAGTCAGAGGCAGACTACAGTTACTTCCGTTACAGGACCTCATCAACGCTCATCTCGACGACCCTCAACCATTCAGTCTACCGAAACACGTCAAACCTCACCTACTATGTTGGACCAAGAGATCAAATGTTTGCAAAGGCATCTATTTAATAGAGCCGGAATTAAAAACACATCTCTATGTAGACGCGCCCTATTGGCCAGCGAGAACGTGGTTTCCAACTCTTATTCAAGAAATCGGACAACCAATACTACAACTTCCAAAGCACTCGAATCTACTAATATAGGCGCACGGAAAGCCAGAAGCATTCCAACTTCACGTATGGACTGTATTAAGTCCTATGGACTCTCTAAACAAGAGAGGTTATTCAGCCAGAGCGGCGAAAGCAGTCACGCTTGCTTTACGCAACTCCACGCGCAACTTGTACGACGACAAGTGGCACAGCTATGAAACATACGCTGCAAAAGAGGGATTTACAGCTAGAAATGCTACACATCCACAAGTGGCTGACTACTTATGTTACCTACGACAGACTAAACGTCTAAAAGGCTCAACATTATCAACATATCTTGCAGCTTTAAGCTCCATGATAACTATGAGAACAGGTGTCAAGCTAACGAAAACTCCAGAGTTACTGGCCTTACTACGTTCATTCCAATTGGAGGATCAGAAACAGAGATTTCGCGCTCCAGCATGGGGATCTAAATGTTGTGCTCCAACACCTCACAAGTGAGGCATATGAACCACTGGGATCAACATCATTCGAATTTCTAACACAGAAAACATTGTTCGTGTTATCCCTAGCAACAGCAGCCAGGATGTCAGAAATTCACGCACTAGATTACGAGAAAACACGGTTTGATGACAATCAAAACATCGTGCATATGGGACTACGCTGGGATTTCATCGCCAAGAACCAGTTGCCAGGTCAACCAGACAGATTATTCCACGTCCTGGCTCTCTCATCAATTCTCGGACCTCATGATACGCTGGATCTATCATTATGCCCAGTCAGAGCACTCAAAATATATCTACGACGATCCAAACCGAGGCGACGAAAACTCAAGCGGTTATTCATCCCTCTATCGACAGCTACACAGACTGAA